TGCTCCAGAGACCTACCGCACAGCCCGGCTTCAATGTTCTATTCATCCATTTTAACACCCGCTTCTCAAAACTCCGATCTCTAGAACAGAGAAGGGGGGATACAAAAATCACTTCTCGTTTACAGCATGTGTTCTGTCTGACGTTTCAATTCAGCCATTTTGAAGAGAGATTAAAGCAAATTTCTTTCAGTGACTTTTCCCTTGAAAACAGATCAGATGGGTCACGGTCCTTGACTGCAAAGTATGGGCTGGAGGCTGCACAGTTATGCAGGAACGTGGGTAATTCTAATTAAGTCTGATGAATTCTTCAAACGCCCATTGACTTTTGTTTACTGCACAATTTTCAGTTTTTTGTAAGCCAATTCTCCGTCCAAATGGATTTCAAGTGTACAAAAACTATATGGCATTTGTTGAATCACCAATACACAAACAATATCGAGCAGAAACACAGACGGTGGCCAAACAGAATTGAGACCCTTGACCGGTGGATGGGCAACAGAATCGTTAGTCTGACATGCAACAAAAAGAGGTCAAATACAGAGATTTCTGCAGAAACGGGATGAAAGAAAAAGAAAGAATACTTTTATAACAAATCACACTGAGTGAAAAAGATAAAGGCATTTGAGTAAGGGCTAGAGAATGATACAAGTGGCAGGATTAGCATACCGAGGCAGACAAATAAAAAGAACAGAACCACTGCTGTCTAATAAGCATGCCCTCAAAGGCAACTAATATGGGATTTGCCGAAATCGGATGTGTTGGGATGAACAGCGCAGTTATGGATGAAACCACGTGTCAAAGGATTGATAGATTTGTCGCCTCCAAGCTGCTACTTCAGGTTTACCATACCATCCTAACATATCCCGCCTGAATGGACGGCTAACAGAGTAGATCTCAGATACCTCTGCTTCTTCTTCGCGCTCACCGGTTGTAAACTCCAGCGGAAAGTTCCGCTTATCCGTCACCTGTGGACTTTTGGTCTTGTTTCAAAACCCGAGTGTTAAACATAATATGGGCTCCCGTAAGGGTTACACCGACAGTAAGGGTTACACCGACAGTAAGGGTTACACAGACAGTAAGGGTTACACAGACAGTAAGGGTTACAGCGACAGTAAGGGTTACACCGGCAGTAAGGGCTACACCGGCAGTAACTGTTACACCGGCAGTAAGGGTTACACCTACAGTAAGAGTTACACCGGCAGTAAGGGTTACACCGGCAGTAAGGGTTACACCGGCAGTAAGGGTTACACCGGCAGTTAGGGTTACACCGACAGTAAGGGTTACACCGACAGTAAGGGTTACACCGACAGTAAGGGTTACACTGGCAGTAAGGGTTACACAGACAGTAAGGGTTACACTAGCAGTAAGGGTTACACCGGCAGTAAGGGTTACACCGGCAGTAAGGGTTACACCGCAGTAACTATTACACCGGCAGCAAGGGTTACACCGACAGCAAGGGTTACACCGGCAGCAAGGGTTACACCGACAGTAAGGGTTACACCGGCAGTAAGGGTTACACCGGCAGTAAGGGTTACACCGGCAGTAAGGGTTACACCGACAGTAAGGGTTACACCGACAGTAAGGATTACACCGGCAGTAAGGATTACACCGGCAGTAAGGGTTACACCGGCAGTAAGGGTTACACCGACAGTAAGGGTTACACCGGCAGTAAGGGTTACACCGGCAGTAAGGGTTACACCGACAGTAAGGGTTACACCGACAGTAAGGGTTACACCGACAGTAAGGGTTACACCGACAGTAAGGGTTACACCGACAGTAAGGGTTACACCGGCAGTAAGGGTTACACCGGCCAGGCATAGCCTGCAGTCTAGTGTGGGTCAGGACAATGATTTCTACAGATATCTGGTCAGGACAAGAAATGTGGAGAAAGCATTAATCAGGACGCCATGATATGTGGAGAAAGCATTGGTCAGGATGGGATGATATGTGGAGAAAGCATTGATCAGGATGAGATATGTGGAGAAAGCATTGGTCAGGATGAGATATGTGGAGAAAGCATTGGTCAGGATGAGATATGTGGAGAAAGCATTGGTCAGGACGCGATGATATGTGGAGAAAGCATTGGTCAGGACGCGATGATATGTGGAGAAAGCATTGGTCAGGATGAGATATGTGGAGAAAGCATTGGTCAGGATGAGATGATATGTGGAGAAAGCATTGGTCAGGAAGAGATATGTGGAGAAAGCATTGGTCAGGACGAGATATGTGGAGAAAGCATTGGTCAGGATGGGATGATATGTGGAGAAAGCATTGGTCAGGATGAGATATGTAGAGAAAGCATTGGTCAGGATGAGATATGTGGAGAAAGCATTGGTCAGGATGAGATATATGGAGAAAGCATTGGTCAGGATGAGATGATATGTGGAGAAAGCATTGGTCAGGATGAGATATGTGGAGAAAGCATTGGTCAGGACGCGATGATATGTGGAGAAAGCATTGGTCAAGACGAGATGATATGTGGAGAAAGCATTGGTCAGGATGAGATATGTGGAGAAAGCATTGGTCAGGATGAGATATGTGGAGAAAGCATTGGTCAGGATGAGATATGTGGAGAAAGCATTGGTCAGGATGAGATGATATGTGGAGAAAGCATTGGTCAGGACGCGATGATATGTGGAGAAAGCATTGGTCAGGATGAGATATGTGGAGAAAGCATTGGTCAGGATGAGATATGTGGAAAAAGCATTGGTCAGGATGAGATATGTGGAGAAAGCATTAGTCAGGATGAGATGATACGTGGAGAAAGCATTGGTCAGGATGAGATATGTGGAGAAAGCATTGGTCAGGATGAGATGATATGTGGAGAAAGCATTGGTCAGGATGAGATGATATGTGGAGAAAGCATTGGTCAGGATGAAATATGTGGAGAAAGCATTGGTCAGGATGAGATATGTGGAGAAGGCATTGGTCAGGATGAGATATGTGGAGAAAGCATTGGTCAGGATGAGATGATATGTGGAGAAAGGATTGGTCCGGATGAGATATGTGGAGAAAGCATTGGTCAGGATGAGATGATATGTGGAGAAAGCATTGGTCAGGATGAGATATGTGGAGAAAGCATTGGTCAGGATGAGATATGTGGAGAAAGCATTGGTCAGGATGAGATATGTGGAGAAAGCATTGGTCAGGACACGATGATATGTGGAGAAAGCATTGATCAAGACGAGATGATATGTGGAGAAAGCATTGGTCAGGATGAGATATGTGGAGAAAGCATTGGTCAGGAAGAGATATGTGGAGAAAGCATTGGTAAGGATGAGATGATATGTGGAGAAAGCATTGGTCAGGACGCGATGATATGTGGAGAAAGCATTGGTCAGGACGAGATGATATGTGGAGAAAGCATTGGTCAGGATGAGATATGTGGAGAAAGCATTGGTCAGGATGAGATATGTGGAGAAAGCATTGGTCAGGATGAGAATGAGATACCTGAGAAAGGTGGTCCAAGTGACAAGAAGGGACAAAGTCCGCAATCAGACAATACGTCAAGATCTTGATACCCAGCCCTTACTAACCCGAGTGGATCAGTCACAGTTACGATGGTTGTGGACATTGTGTGCAGAATGGGAGAAAATTGGTCGGCCACCATGGCAAGCATGGGAGGCTAAGAACCAGGGAAACCAGACCTCCGGGACGACCCAGGGTGCGCTGGGAAGACAACATCCGACAGTCCCTGAATGACAGAGGACGGGATGGAACAAAGCCAGAAAAAAAACTGCTGATATGAGACGTCTGGCGATCTCTCTGGCAAACCTCTACACCCCAAGGTAGAAGAGGAGCGACTAAGTAAGTAAGTAAGTAAGTCTGAATAACATTCGCGACGCCGTGTTTGTGTGTGACAATCGTACAAGGACGATGTTGTATGCAGATGGCAAGCGATTCAGTTTGGGTAGGCGCAGTTGCACACAGAACACTTGGTCTGCCCGCCTGGTGATCGTGTGTCGGAATCCACTTGTAGGCGTGGATTGTGTGCACTGACCTGGCGGCTTTACTACGTTACTAGAAGCAAACATAGGCAATAGTCACTTTCATTTAAAATAAACGATCATGACTGAAAATGTAATGTAAAAAGTTTTTTGGGGGACGAGAATGAATGAATGAATGGATGGGGTTAATCTAGAATTGACATCGCTGCTCTACGGGTTCCACATCATTCCTCGGTAGCCAAGAAAAGCCCACATGCAGACAGTACAAGATGCCACCTGATTAAAAGTATGTCTCTGTTTTCCCCCGCATCGTTGAATATCGTCGGAAACCTCTGTCCGCCCCCCCCCCTTTCTTTCTCTCTCTCTTTGATGAACTAGTCTTTCAAGGTATGGACAGTATGTCTATCCTGTTTCACTGTCCATGCGATTCTAGAGAGTGTTCGCTGCGCTGGCTTTATAAGAAAGTAGCTCACCGTCCAAAGGCGCGGCAGTATGCAGCTCGTATGCTCCAATGGCAGATTCAAGGCACTAGTGTTTTTGTGATCCAGAGAAGAATCTGAAGCCTTGCAACCCACAGCCAGACAACAATGTCTCGGCCGGCGCCGGGTTGTCTCCCATGTTATTTACATCGACAGTTTCCTTCCGACTACTACGGGGTCCTTAGGGAACACAGAATAGGCACTATCTAACCCTCCATGCATGCCCTAAGAGTCAATTTAGAAAGGCTGGTGTGTAATTGGCTATCTCATATCACAGCGAATGGTTCAAACAATCACAAAGAAAGGGATGAGTGAGCTGGATGGCAGCTTATAGTTAACTGGGAGGTTCAGAAAGGAGAAGAAACAAAGAACGAATGAGGAGGAGGAGAAATAGCAGCAGCAACAGTAGCAGAAAAAAAAAAGACACATTGCAAAGAAACATGATGATGATGGTAATGGCTGGCACATTGGTGATATAGCCTGGGTAGAAAGAGGAGTTAAAGAATTTAGAACAACATGGACCCT